GGGATTGGACGCGTGAATGCAAATCGAGAGACGAGAAATCTTACAAACTGTAAGAGGGAGAGAGACAGAGAGAAAGAGAAAAGCAAGAAGGAGTTGATTGGAAAAAGAAGAAAAGCCTCGAGATACGTATACATACCCGAGCAAGAAGAATGAAATATACTGATGAATCGATTGATTGAAGGGAGAGTTTTCATGCATTTTGCGTGAACGTCGGGCGTAAAAAAAAGAAAGAAAGAAAAAGAAGAAAACGTTCAATTGGAATGGAACGTTATTCCAACGTGGGAATAATGTCGGCCGGTTGATTATTGGCCAAGCAAAACGGGCGCCTTTTTATTCGACACCGGAATTATTTTCCCGCTCGCTTCTCTGACCGAGGAAGAGAGATGGAAACAAAGAAGAGAACGCAAAAAATTCCCCATACCGTTTGTTAATTATAAAATATCGTGGACGATAAGAAAGCCTGTGTATAAGTTCCCCCGCCACTTTAACGGCGAGGGGAGAAAAAAACCAGTGTTTTCCACGCTAATTAATTTTCCCTCTCTCGCTCTTCCCTCTTCGTCATTATTCCCGGGTGAAATTTAAGAGTGCCGATTTCCTGGGAAACGTTTCGTTCCCAGAAACGATCGACCATGCTCGATAAATTTTTCAACCATTCCACCAAGATATCCGCCGAAAGGTCATTTTTAAAAATGGCCATTAAAGACTTTTGCTCGTGAAATCGTTGACTGAGGAATTTCACGATCGTGAAAAACGAACTTTTGAAAAAGATATTTCCATTCCGTTATATTTTTACTTTACCTTCGCACGATTCATCGATCGATCGATCGATCTTTTGGAAAACGAAGTGAAAATCGTGTGGTATGGAAAAGGCCAAAATATTTCCTTTCTGCAAGGAAAAATTGCAAGATCATTTTCGTAATCGTGGATAACTTTTGATCGACGGCAGTTGCTTCAAAATATTTTTTAACCGTTCCAGAAAAATCCATCAAAAAGTCGTTTCAAAAATGGCCACTAAAGATTTTCGCTCGTGAAATTGTTGGCTGACGAATTTCACGATCGTATTTTGAACTTTTGGAAAATGTATTTCCATTCTGTATGTTTCATCTCACCTTCGCACGATTGTCGTTCGATCTTAGAAAACAAATTTTTTACAAAATTATTTTCGCAATCGCGAAATTGCAATTGTTTCAAAGTAACTTTCTCCCTTTTTGACGAATTGCAATAATCGCATATATATATATTATTTCGTTTCGCTCCATTAACTTTTCCTCAAAAAGAGATACACGCTATAAATGCCAGTAAGTGATCTCTACGTAAATTCGACGTTGATGCGATGTTTAATAATGTAGTACGTTAAAGCATCCTACAATGCATCCTTTAAGACACACAAGAATCCTTTATAAGATTCTTGACGGTAAAAAATTGCGTGCCTTTGCATCTTTTCACGGTCGATCTCACACATATACATATATATATACTACACCAATATTCACGAGTTTCCTTAACAACCAAATACATACATACGTATATATTTTTGTTACAGAATATAAAGTTCAAATGAAATTTTATTTATAATTTCATTGTTAAACGTTGCCAGCAGTATCACTATTTCATAGTTGGTATCTATTTTTTTGTTTATCTTCGACACGCACTCTTCAAATGTTTCGTAAACAGATACGCTAAATATATTTTATTTATTGTTTATCACTGCATAACCATAAGTCATACATTTTCTACAATAATCATTCTGATTCAAGAGAGAACCTTACTTATCGATCGATCCGTATCATTTTTTCGAGCGAAAGGTTAATCCCGCATAGAAATTATTCCGACTCCTCGAACAGCTCGCCTCTCTTTGTGCGCGTTATTCTCTTCGAGAATAACCGTGGAAGAAAGCGCGTCACAATGGCGGGGGGAGGGGGAGGGGGCCCGACTGTTCGATGATCAGTCGCGATGACAGATCCGCTAAGGCATTAACGAGAGAGGCATGCCTCGAGCCGTCTCTCCTCGTCGTCGAGGAGAAGAGGGGAAAGCGTCGAATCGACTGTCACAACCATTCGCGGCTTCTATACGCGTGGATAGATAGATATGTGGCCTCGATGAAAGGGAGGCTTTGAGAGAGGGGCCGAGCGCCCCAACTTATCGGTCCGCGAAGAAAACGGCGGTTGGAAGGCGTACGACGACGTGTACGTTCGAAATCCACGGTAAATATGCGCGACAAACGTTTCTCTTTACGGGGAAAAAGAACCTTTGACGGGCCGTGCGCCGAGCGGAAATTCTCGCCAGGGAAAATTCTCGACGCGGTCTGATTGCGAGGAAACTTCTGGCGGGGACAGCTTTCCAACACGTTTCTCCTTCCTTTTCTTTTTCCCGATCCCGATATTTCGACGTGCTAACTTTCAGAAATAGCACATAATCTGTCCAGCCAATTTCCAATATTATTCATTTTTCCTAAGATCAATCATCGTGATTGAAATTTTGCAATTTCAAGACTCGTTCTGTATATATTTTGGTCGAATTTTGGTCGTTTGTCGTTTGATTACATTGAAAAGGACGAGATGTAAATTCTTTTTTAGCGTATGATTGACAGATTTTGACTGGTTTCTCTATTTTCCGATTCATTGGCAAAGACGAGAGAAGGAGGGAGAATTTTCGTGAAAGGAAGAAAGAGATCGATCGCTCGATCAAGCTTTTGTTGAATAATAATTAAACGCGTAGACGCCTCGACTAATTGGATGATAAAACTATCCTCGATAATTTGATATATTATCGTTTAAAATTTCATCGAATAAAATGAAGTTAAAATGTATTTCTATACACGGGAGCTTCGTTAATGAGGCAAGTAAAGCAAGTTTAACTAAGACCAAAGGTTTTCGAATCTTTCACCGTTAACGAAGCGGAAGAAAATGATTCGGGAAAGAGTAATCGGCTCATGAAATTAAATTCCAAGCGCACTTTTAGACTCTCCTCTCGTCCAATATATATATATATACGTTGAAGCAATCACTGGAATCCACTGGCATTCCCCGCGACTCGCGTTTCACGATGTGATAAAAGGGGGGTTGGAAAAACGAGCAGCGGTTTTTACAGCGATTCGCGCGTATCCACTGGAAGAAAGAACAAGTTTCGCGAGTTTCCAGTCATCATCACTTCCGATACCCGACAAATGTTACTCTTTTCTTGTTTAAAAAAAAAAAACGTTATTTGTCAGAATATAATACACTTCCATCGAATCGAACTCACCTTTCCTTAAGAAAAATCTTACGTCTCTTCGCCAGTCATATTTTCCTCACTTTCAACTCATCTTTCTTCAAGAAATTGGGATCTTTAATTTTTGGCGTTTAATTTTTTACCGATGAACGTATCGATCTCTCTCGATAAATCAGAAATTCTTTTGCGATATCTTTGTCCCCTCTTGCTCGGTTTATCGATAGACTGAACAGAATATTCGAAGTTTCAAAATTTCGCAGAAGAATCCGGGTAAAATATTTCTCTCCTTCGAAAAGTTTTTGGAAAAAAAAAATATTTTTCGACAACTCCGTACTCCGATAATTCCCCCTCCCCCCTAATTCCTGCAGAATTTCGAATATTTAACCGATCCGGCCGGGCAAGATTGGCCGGATCCCTCTCTCGCGAGGCATAAAATCGTCGCGCGATAGGATATGGAAATAAAACGCGTCGAGTCGAAAGGAGGAGAGACAGAGATATATATATATATATAAAATACAGCGACGGGATGTGATCACACACAGTCGGTCCCGAATATTTCCCGATCAGAGGAGGCGGAAAATTTGGCGGACAAGCTGAAAGAGAAGCTTGGCGTCCGTGCTATTTATCCAATTTCGAGCGGCGCAGATGGCGCGCGGCTTAGTAGCAGGGCCCCGCCAATGTGACGAACGCGTTAGGGCGCTCGAATTAATCCTCTTCCGCCGCTGTTCCGCCGGATATCAGCGGATATCTCAAAAAATGCCGTGTCCGCCGCGGTAATCTCGGATAATACGCGGGAAATTGGAAATTCGGCTGCCCGCTATCCGCTTCGTTTCCCCGCCTCCAACCTCGTTCATCAACGAGGCGAATGTTTAAAAAAAAGTAGAAGAAAGAAGTAGAAAAGGAGAGAGAGGAAAGGTAAAAATTCGACGACGAGCATTCGATATAGTTTCGATGGATGGCGGTCGAGATGATGATAATTTGTGATGCAGCTATGGTTCGATTTTTATTTATTCGTTCAATTATCTATTCGTTACAGGGGATGATGATATCCCCTGTATCTATTCTAAACGAGAGATAAATTTTAATCTCGATCGATTGATTCAACGTTTCGAATCGAGACGAGATTTAACTCCGAGAGTTAAATCTTTTATCATTACGATTGGGAAAAAGGGAATAGACTGGGCATGAAGTGGAAATAAGTTAGAACTCGTATTTGAACTCGAACAAAGATGGAGATAATTGATCCTATCACGCCTATTGCACGAATCCACCTATTCATCCTCCATCGAATTCGTATATAAATGAAATTATCCACGATCGCGCCACGAATTACACGCAGAATCAATAATTCATATCATATAAATAAAACCCCTAAGAAGATTTCGATTCCTCCTTCAAACGATCTTCAAAAATCGAATTCGTTCCAATTTAATCTTTCCACCGATACGAGAATAATTTCAAAGATGGTTTGACTCGACTGATAAAAGAAATAAGAAAAATCGTCTCGCGATATTTCGGCGATGAATAACGCGGCGCGGCTCTTGAAAACACCATCTCACGAGTGCATCTTCTCGCGCGCAACTTTTCCACCTTTAACAACGGAGGAAGGAAGGAAGGAAAGGGAGGAGGGTGGTAGATTCCGCGCGGGATTGTCCTGACCACGAGGAAACAGCGGCGGGGTGGTCGTCCCCCAGGCGCGATAATTTATTTCCTTTACAATTCCGTCAGTACAATGCGCGTGTTAAAATATTACCCGAGCTTTATAACCGCGCTCGTCCCCCCCTTTCCACTTCTTTCTTTCTGTCTTCGGCGAGATAGAGGCCACGTACGCGTGCACGTATTTCATCTTCCCCTCCTTATATCGTGTGTACGTGTGTGTGTACGCCGCTCTATTCAAACGTTTGCTATTTGTAATCGCGTTCAGCAACGTTCAAGGGGGCTGGATTCCGCTGTAACGTAACGGGCGAATAAAAGCTTGCGTGCCGTGAATCCGTGAACGAGATAGATATTCTCCCCTCTCCCCCACGTGTGTGTGTGTGTGTGTACGTATGCTGTAAAAGTTTGGTTTCTCTGGTTGAGAAGAAAAAAGAAGGGGAGGGGGGGAGTGGGGGGGGGGGAAGGAGGAGAGATTGTGAAATTAAGATTGGAGAGATTGAAAATGAATGAAATACACGCGAGATGCAGCAATACTGGAGCGGTACTCGTAGATTCTGAGAGAGAAGAAGAAGCGTGAAAATGTATTTGAGGTAAACCTCTTGGGGAGAACGGTCGATCGTTTCGTTCTTGCAGTGTCCATTTGTCCATCTGAAAATTAACTCGAAAGAGAGAGAGAGAGAGAGAGAGAGAGAAATTTATCCTCGATCTATTCGTATTCGTGTCTTAAGATGTTGAACTAACCAGGAAAATAAATATTTGTATTACGTTTGTGCATACAAATTTAATACGATTATGGGGTGAATATAAAAGAAAGTGGATAATTAATAAAATGCAATGATTATATGCGGTGATACAAAAGAAAATAATATTACGTTAATATTAATTTCATTTAATTGATTAATCGCATTCGTTACTCGGATTTAAATTTGATGCGGCTTTCGTTTATTCCTCTGCCTTGCAAATTGGTAAATTTTTATACCCACGTACTCGATCCGATTTACTTTTGTTCAATTAATTAAGATACTATTTATTTTCTCTTATTATCGGGAGACGCATTGCTTATAAAACGCAATTACGATATTATTCCTCCGTGATTATTTTTCCTTCCTAAAATTATATATCATATTTTATTTTTCTCGCAATCGCGATTAATATCACATCGCTCGCGATACGATTAAACGAGTTTCAATCGTAATTATCACATCGCTGAGATTAAAAACTTTTTTTATTTCGCTTTTTCAGATCGCAGCCAACCATGGAAACGAGAAACCGCAGGTACCGAAAGTTCAAAATTTTGTTCAATACCAATACGTCGTTACACGTTACGTTGCCTTAGATATTATAGAAACTGTACCTAACTTTCGAAATATCGTATCGATTCATAATTTATACCAGCACCTCTTCGATGTAACGAGTTAAATTCGAACCGACCACGGTTTTTAGCTTCTTCCTTCTCTGTCAAGAAATCAAAAATAATTCTCCTTCGTGTCTGCAACGAAAACCTTTGCGAACTCGAGAAACAAACAGAGATTATAAAATTCTTCCTCGGAGATGAAATTATTCGTACTCGTACTCGTAATCATTCATGCGATCAACGAACTCGAAGAATTGTCGAAAAATATCCTTTTCTCGAGGTGAAATCGACACATTGTGTTCGTAAAAAAAAAAAAAAAAAAAAATAATACAATTTTTTAAAATATCCCTTCCCCGAAAAAGATGGAACCCTGAAGCAACTGCGAACAAGTTCGTTCGTCAATAAACCGAGACGACTTTAACACTTGTCAAATCGAACGAGGATAAAATAAATTTCACGTGCTCGACTCGTAGACGACGATATTTGAGAGCACAGCCCCGTAGAGTAGCTGCACTTGTTAACTGTCAACTGGAAAACGTTGATGGAAGATGAATGAATGGAAGAAGGATAATCGAGAAGGAAGGAGAAACGTATAAAAGAAACAACCGGTACTCGGAAAAATGCAACAACGTGGGCAAGTTTGGTAAGATTCTGGGGACGGGGTGGGGAGTGGAGTGGCTTTCGTTTCTGAAAGTATGCCTTTGGGTGTCGTTCCGCGCAACTTCGCCCGGCCTTTCAGCCCAAAGTTAAAGACTTGAACGCGGGGAGCAGGCAGGGATAAAAGAGAGCATATTGCGGGCCAAACTTCTGGTTCAAAGTTTCTGGTCCAAGTCACAGTGTCTGGTTTTAATAATGCGAAAGAAGAGGCTCTCGTAGGTGTATAGAAGGGGGAGAAGAAGCCCACTCAAAAGTCCGTAGTACCTTTTATAAATCTACAGTAAGGGACACGCGTCTCGTGGCTTCTCTCTTCGCACGAGAAACTGACCCGACAATTCTCGCGACATCGATAGGAAAACAAACGGAGAAAGATCTTCCATTTAGAAATAAATTTCTCATATACACATTCGAAGCTATTCCGCTCTTTAAGAAGCACAAATTACGCGACGAGAATCCATGAAAGAAGGCGATCGATTCCTTCTCAATTTTTTTTCGGTTCACGACCGGTTGAATGAATAACGAGGCGAACTCGAGGCGGTCAAAGCAAAAAATAAGCTAAATGAAAGAGCGAAGCTTGATCTTCGATCGAGGGATTGTCTTATTCTCGGGATCCTTTATCCCGATAATAACAAAAGACGAGAGGAACGAGAGGGAGACGACTTCCCCCTTCGTCTATCGGAATGATGAATAACGATTACGGGGAAGAAGGGGAGGAAGAGGCAATAACGTTGCATCACGTTGGTTTATGATGTAAGGAATACCGGAAAGATGCTCTTCTTTCGAAGTATCGATCCTCGGCGATGCGGGGACACGATGTTCCACTTACAGCTGGGAACAAATTACGGTCGTTTCGAGTAAAGCGACTGTCATTGATCTTGGTCAGTTGGGAAATTAGCGAAGTCTCTTTCTTTCTCTCTCTCTCTCTCTTTCTTTCTCTATGGCTGGCAAGATGTTTGCCAAGGTAGATATCGTTACGTAAGGTAGCAGGTGTTCCACTGAATTTTAATTGCATTCTTGTCCAACATTCTAGCTAAAGTGCGTCAACAACCTCTTAATTATTTCAGCATTTAGCTCCATCTCGTCGGCGATGAGAACGGAACACCGCGGTAAATGAAAATATCATTTCTTTTTTCTTCTTTTAACCGAGTATTATGGAAAATTTAAGTGGTTAATTTCAGAGATTGAAAAAGATGGAGGAAATTGGTCAAAAGGATCGGTTGGAACTTTTCTTCTTTTTTTTTAAATTATAAGCAATTTAATTTCGCATTAGATAAAATGAAACGAGATGGTAGAGCGAGACGTTGAGACGTTATCTAGCGGAAAATTAAACTTGCTTGCATAAGTTTCTATATTTTCCGAATACCAAGCTTTCTCAGAGTATCGTCCCACCAATTTTTCTATCCCTTCCTTTCCAAGGAAAAAACAAGTATCGAAGCGAAACGATACGATACGAATTCCTTTCTTTCCCTCGATTCCTTCGAGATCTCAACAATTCCTTCTCGGATCATCGCTCGTTCCTTGATCTCGACGAGCACCTCGGTTTTCTCAAAATGAATCAACAAATGAACGAGAAGACAATGTAATCACGATCCGCGCGTGTACAGACGGAATAACAGAGCGTTATTGTTGCACTGAGAGGAGAATAATCGGAAGAACGTCGTTTCGAGCATTGCATTGCTCCGTGAAATTTCGAATCGGGCGCAAGGGAAAAATTTCGACTCGCCAACGAATGAATTCATCGTGCGCCTCTCGTTTCCGGCCAAGTGGCACGGAACACGGTTTGTTTCCGCTGAATTAGATAGAATAGAAATTCCCCTATATATATATATATACACATATATAGTCTCACTCGCGCTAATTAATTCTCTCCAAGTTGGTGAGAGAGTATTATGTTTCGAAACGGCGTCCAAAGAGCGAAAGGTGAAATTGCCCCGCCTCTACGCTCCGCGTTGAAAATTTCAACCCGGCGCGAACCGTGGTCCAAGTTTGGAAAAGAGGGAAGGAGACGCGGAAATATATCCAGAGAGAAGGAAGGAGCTGGAACGAGTTTTTCGAGTTATCTTCCAAGGTGGGCACAATTTCGTGAATTTTGAACGGTGTGTACCTAGATAACGGCCAGATAACGATAACGCAAAGTTATCGCGGGAGATGAAAACGGAGATGAAAGTCTGGAAGCGGAGATTGTTTCATCACGTACAGAGAAAGACCCTCGAAAGGAAGTTTCGAAGCCCCATTTTCCAATGATTTCCTCGAATCTCGTTCTCACGTGATTGATAATGTTTTCGTTCCTCGAAAATTTCCAAAGTGATCCCCAATCGTGAATTCTTCCTCGCCAACGATGACTCTATTACGAGACACACGTCGAAAGAAGATCACATACATACGCACGCACATATATATATATATACACGTTTATTCCACGAATAAACGTGAAAATCGACTCTCGTACGCGTCCTTCCGAACCATTTACACCATGGACAAATTTTTAATCCAAACTTTAATCGGCCGTCAATTTTTAAACCCGATTCGCAGCGGCTACATCATCCCAGCCGTGGATTAGACGGGACAAACCGGGTTTCGCCGATTTGTTTGAAAATTCTCCCGATTACACGGGATTGTAATTTTATCCGGGAATTAATTCGCGGCATTTGCAAAACTTGCCCATGCCAACTTAATATCCTCGCCGCATCCCACCGAGCCGAGTAATTATTTTTCTGGCCGGGCTTTCGGTGACGCCATGCACGATCATTAACGTCGTTAATTTCGCTCGCTCCACAAGGAGGGGAGGGGAGGTTCCGTGTTTCTCGTAAGCCCAGTGCACGCAGCAACGAAAATAGGATGATTCGACGAGGCCACTTTAGCCCCCGCCGGTTTATCTCGGATGCTACGATTTTACGCGTGCTCGTTTTTTTGGGACCGAGCGCATTACGCGAGAGGAAAGATAGAGTCCGCGATATTTCGTGGGAGGGGAACCTTTGTCTGGCGGATTAAAGGAAGGAGACGCGGCGGAATGGAGGTTGTTGATCGTGAAAAGCGAAAAAAAAATTATTCAAGAGTTTGTTTCTTCTTCTTCTTCTTCTCTTTACAGGAGGAATACAGGAGTTTCGTTTGTTTTAATTTTCTCTCCTTGTCGGGGACAGATACGTTTGAGAGCGAAATTTTGGACAACTGTTCTTCAAGGTTTCTTTTTTAAAGTGATTGTATATTTAACACAATGTAGCACAATGTCTTGAGAATTTCGTTGTCAAATAGATTTGCGATTTCTTCGAGGTTGGTAGAATTTGA